CCACTGCACTCCAGCCCAGGTGACAGATCTCGCTTTTTTTATATATATATATATATATATATAGCAAGATTATTAGTATTATTATTATTATCACTGTCATTTTTATAACTATTTAATGAAAAAACTCTTTTGTGACAAATAATAACTAGAAAAGGAAAGTTTATTACCAAACAAGTTTTTTGCAACTTTGTTTCGGAACTTTATATTGCATTAAAATTCAAACAATCTCCTCTACAAAAAATATACTAACCAGTATTAGTCTTTTCTAAAAATTAAGAAGAGATTATATTAAATATGCTCGCAATTAAACAAAATAGTCTTATCATTATATTGATTAATTAAAGAGGAATCTATTTATTGAAGTATTTGATTAGTAAAAGCTATTTTCTAATTTTTTTGGTGTTGAATAATTTAAAAATGCCCTTTCAGAAGATAATCAGTAAAAAGAAGGTTAAAAAAAACCTGAGAAAAGAATCATCATTCAAATTAATAATATTAAGGACTTGCGAACTTTCCTAAATTTTAGATGGAAACTTTGAAATCCTTAATCAGTTTAAAAAATATTTAAAATAAACTAAAGTCGTGAATACAAACAAACTAATCAGTTTTTTCAAAAAGAAAAATCAAGATGTTATGCATCTCTCTAACTAAATCAAATACTCAGAACATTTCAATTGATTATCGAAAAAAAGTGAAACAGGAATATCTGTATATTTGAATTTTATGGTTTGAATCTGTTTTATTATTTCTTTGGCTAAACATATAAAAACAAAATTTCAGAAAGTAATCATGAAAAAAAAAGTCGAAGAAACAAAGAAGCTTGGAAAAGAATCCTCATTTAAACTGATATTTACCCGGGGTAGATATTAACCCGTTTAAGCCTAATATTAACCCATTTAAGAGAACAGATATAAAAACTTGAATAATTTTTTAAAAAAACAATACCATTTACAAGAATCTAAAGTTTTATTAAAGAGCTCCTTCTTTAATAGAAATATTAAGGTTCTCGATAGATGAAAAAACTACTCAAAATAATTAAATTGATTATTGAGAAAGATTAAAAGAGCTTTCTTTGTAAAAAAAAATATTATGGTTTGAAATTATTCTCTGGAGTTTGAATATTTAAACGGAAAATTTTAAAAGAATATCGAAAATTGAAAGGGTAAAAAAAAAGAAATAATATAGGAGACGAATCATCATTGAAATTAATGCTCATCAAGGGATGTAGATCAATATATAAGGGTTTTACTCAAATAAATATAATATTTTAAACATTTAAATTATTTATTTAAGCAGATTAAAAGAGGATTCTCTTTTAAATAAAAAAAAATTAATGGTTTGAAACTACAACCATGATGTTTGGAACTACCACTATGATGAAATTACAACCATTGAAAAATAAAATTTGAAACGAAGTTTGAAAACATTGAAAAATAAAATTTAAAATGAATATAAATAAAAGATGATTAAAGTAAAATTAATACTAACCAGAAGTTGTAGACTTTTCTGAAAATTTAAATTGAAAATTTAAGATCGTAAATAATTAAGAAAAATATACTAAAATATTAAAAATCAAGATTTCAAAAAATATTAATAAAAGAATTAAAGAAGCTAGGTAGTGAATTATCATGCAAATTGATACTTACCAGGAGTTGTAGACTTTTCTGAAATTTTAAATTGAAAATTTAAGATCGTAAATAATTCATAAAAAATCTTTTGAAATATTGAAGAACAAGATTTAAAAAAAGTCAATAAAATATGGTATATAGAAATAAAGAAGATTGAAAAAAAATCCTCTTTGAAATTAATACTAACCAGAAGTTGTGGACTTTTTTTCCAATTTTAGATTAATAATTTCAGATCGTAAATAATTAATTAAAAATCAATTAAAACATTGAAAAACAAAATTTCAAAAAAATCAACAAAGCATAATTAAGCGAAGTAAAGAAGTTGGGTGAAGAATCATCATTGAAATTCATACTAACCGGGAGTTGTTGACTTATCTGAAATTTTAAATCGAAAATTTAAGATAAAAAAATCCATTGAAACAGAGAAAAGGAAAATTCAAAAGGAATGTCAGGAAAAGAAGGCTGAAGTAAGGAGTCTTAGAGACTAAAAATCATTAAAATTGATACTAAAAAGGAGTTGTAGACTTTTCTGAAATTTTAGATTAAAAATTTAGGATCATATTTAATTCGTTAAAAATAATTACTACATAGAAAAAGGAAAATGTAAAAGAATATAAATAAAAGATGGCTATAGAACCTGGGTGATGAATCATCATTAAAATTGATACTAATCAGGGGTTGTGGACTTTTCGGAAATTTTAAATTAAAAATTTAGGTTCATATTTAATTCGTTAAAAATAATTACAACATTGAAAAATGAAATTTCAAAGGAATATATATAAAAGATGGTTACAAAAAGTAAAGAAGCTGGAAGATGAATCATGATGATTAAAATTAATACTAACCAGGAGTTGTAGACTTTTCTGAAATTTTAAATTGAAAATATAAGACAGTTAACAAAAATCAAATGAAACATAGAAAAACAAAATTTATAAGGAATAATCATTAAAAGATGGTTAAAGTAAGTAAGGTGTGATTAAAAATCATTAAAATTGATACGAACCAGGAGTTGTGGACTTTTCTGAAATTTTAAATTGATTGTTTATGATAAAAAAATCAATCGAAACATTGAAAAGCGAAATTTAAAAGGAATGTCAGCAAAAGATGGTTAAAGGAAGTAAAAAAGCAGGTAGATAAATAATCATTGCAAATGATACTAAATGGGAGTTGTTCATTTTTCTGTAATTTTAAATTGAAAATTTAGGATAATTAATAAAAATTAAATGAAACAATGAAAAACAAAATTTAAAAAGAATAATCAAAAAAAGATGGTTGAAGGAAGTTAGGAAGCTGAGTGTTTAAAAATCATTAAAATTGATACTAACCTGGAGTTGTTGACTTTTCTGAAATTTTAAATTGAATATTCAAGATTAAAAAAAATCAATTGAAACGATGAAGAACAAAATTTAAAAGGAATGTCAGTAAAAGATGGTTAAAGGAAGTGAGGAAGCTGGTAGATAAATAATCGTTAAAATTGATACTTACCGGGAGTTGTAGGCTTTTCTGAAATTTTTGATTAAAAATTTAGGATCATATTTAATTCGTTAAAAATGATAACAACATTGAAAAATGAAATTTCAAGTGAATGAAAATAGGTAAATAAAGTCAAGAAGTTGAATTCCGGGCCGACTGAAAATAGCAGTGATTTTTTAAAGTTTAAACAATATCCTTGTATTTGGTATCGTTTTAAAGGAAATTTGTTGTAATTTATGAATTTAAAAGTTATTTTTCTGAGCTATGCATGATTATAGTAAAATTTTTTATGAAGAGAATGGATTTATGATTATGACTTAATCTACCAAAAAAACTGTCTATTTTAAAGAAGAATAAGTTATTACAAATATTACGATTTCACAAATAGATTGATTTATATTGTAAAATGAATTGTTCTTAGGTCTAATTATGAAGTGATTACCGCTTAAAAAAAGGTCTTATTGCTTAAGACAATAATTATCTCAAATATATATTTGCCCCATCTGTTACACTAATTCTTTTAAGTTTATTCTATGTATTACACAAAAAAATTTAACTTATTTTTACAACAAATTCCATTAGTACAATCATGTTCTGCTATATTTTTGAAGAAAAAAAAATTAAAAATTTTAAATTTTCTCATATAACAGAACCTCATTAAATAGAGAGGAGAAAACTAAATGTCCCCTCAGTTACACAAAATTGATAGGTTGACCATTAAAAAGAAACTGTAGGAATGTATACAAGTGTTAATGCATCCTGATTCAACTAGTTTAAACCAGTTCCTCCACTATTAAAGCACACTTTTTACTCAAAGCTGTGCAATTTTTATTTGATAGTTTGTTTAGTTTATAGTTAAAAGTTTTTTAAATGAATAATCAGTATGGGGAAAACCGCTGCTGCAAAAATGAGAGAATATAGAAATAGAATGTTGTATATTCCCTCAGATAAATAAAGATAATTGTGAGAAAAAGATAAAGCATATGAATCGAAAATGTATGGTATCTGAAGTATTTTGAAGAAAATATCTTAACAAAAAAAATAGATAAATTGTAAAAAAATAAAAATAAATTAAAAATAATTTTATATAACATTAAAATTCATAAAAACTCATATGCAAAAAATATACTAGCCAGTAGTAGTCTTTTCCAAAAATTAAGAAGAGATTATATTGAATATGCTCGCAATTAAACAAAATACTCTTAACATTATATTGATTAATTAAAGAGGAATCTATCTGTATTTGATTAATAAAAGCTATTTTCTACTTTTCTTGGTGTTGAATAATTTAAAAATGACATTTCAAAAGATAATCAATAAAAAGAATGTTAAAGAAAAGCTGAGAACAGAATCATCATTGAAATTAATAATATTAATTCATAACAAATATTTACAACATTTAAAAACAAAATTTCAAATGAATATAAATAGTTAAATGAGTTGAATTCCATGCCGACTGTAACCAGTTGTGAATTTTTAAAGTTTAAACAATATCCTTGTATTTGGTATTATTTTAAAGGAAATTTGTTGTAATTTATGAATTTAAAAATTATTTTTTTGAGTTATGCATGATTATGGTAAAATTTATTTTAAATGGAGAAGATTTTCAGAGAGATTATTTTAGTAGAATTATGACTCATTCTACCAAAAAAACTGTGTATTAAAAGAATAATATGTTATTACAAATATTACGATTTTACCTATAGTTTGATATATATTGTAAAATAAATTGTTCTTGGGTCTAATCATGAAGTGATTACCGCATAAAAAAATTTCTCATTGTTTAAGACAAAAATTATCACAAATATATATTTGTCCCATCTGTTACAGTTATTCTTTTAAATTTATTCTATTTATTAAACAAAAACCCTTTTAACTTAATGTTTGGTTTTTACAATAATGTCCATTAGTACAATCATGCTATGTTACATTTTAGAAAAAAAAATTAAATTTTCTCATATAAAAGAGGGGACGTCACAGAGAGGACAAAGCTAAATGTCCCCTCAGTTACACAAAATTGATGAGTTGACCATTAAAAAGAAACTCTAGGAATGTATACAAGTGCGAATGCATCCTGATTCAACTAGTTTAAACCAGTTCCTCCACTGTTAGAGCACACTTTTTATACACAGCTGTGCAATTTTTATTTGATAGTGTGCTTAGTTAACAGTTAAAAGTTTTTTAAATGAGTAATCAGTATGCGGAAAACCACAGCTGCAAAAATGAGAGAATATAGAAATAGAATGTTCTATATTCTCTCAGATAAATAAAGATATTTGTGTGAAGAAGGATAAGAAATATTAAACGAAAATTTATAAAAACAGAAGTATTTTTAGAAAAAAAACCTGTACAGAAAAATAGATAAATTGAGAAAAATTTAAGATAAAGTTAAAATAAACAGGCCCTAATACATGCAATACAAATTGAGGAGGGATATTCTCGTTATAATATTCCTTAGGCAATGAAGAATGCTATTAAAAAAAGCCATCCGTGCCTTGCCTGTATCTCCAAGAAAACGTTGTACTGCTCTCCGTATACTGTGTAATGAAAGTGATTGGCTAGATCTGTATATCAAATTATGTTTATTAGTCTCTTTTTAATAATCTTCTAAGATAAAACTCATTCTGTGAAGCTTTTTGTAAGTTTTTTCTTATGGTTAATGGTAAGAAAAATTTTATTTCTCCATATTTTAACTTTACTTTTCCCTAAATATGTTAGATGCTCATATCAATTCGATATTAAGAAGAAATGGAAACTTTTTAGTTTAATTTAATAAAATTTGCTTCATATTTCTTTCTCAATATTTTATTATGTGGGGTTCAAAATATGTAGAGTGCATGCATGTGAATTTTAAAATTGAAAAAATTATTCTTGAACTTCTATTCTTCGTACTTTTATACAGATTATTAATAACTATCGCAATCTATCAGAGGCTCACCCATTGTCTAATATAATTTACATTATAAACTCTTACATAAAATAATGATAGTTGAGCAAATCGAACATAAGTTGTCATAGCACGTACCATTTGAAGCAAAAAAAGGTCCTGAAAAAATGAGTGACATTATTTTCTAAGAGATATTATAAGCCTATAAATTGATAAAATATAAGAGATTAACTTATTATACCAAACATTAAACTACAATCCGAATAAAAACATACCAATAACATTGAAAAATTTTCTTTTTAAAGCAAACACTCTTATATATACTTATGAATTTCTAATGCAATTTTTAAGTACAACCACTATTATTCTGCTAAAAATTTTATAACAATCGTTTAGATGATTACATTACATCCATCAATAAAAAAATTTTCAAATAAAATTTTTTTCTAATGATTAATTGTAATAAAGTAAGTATTTTTCCAAACAGGATTGCTTATAAATATTTATAACTAATTCATTTTCTATTTGTAAGAAACGCTTTTAAATAAAATAAAAAAAAATATTTCAAGAACTAATTTTTGAAAAAATAATTGAATTAAAATAGGATAAATTATAATTTTACATGAATTTTATATTAAAACAAAAACAAAAATTTGAAAAACTATCAAATATTTCTGTTACATAAAATAAAATAATAAATACAAACTATTCTTACCTTTAATTATATTAAAATGATTTAAGGCTGCTGTAACATCAAAATCAAATAGGTTGAAAAAAATCTGTTTCGACTTTACCCATTCCGCATTATGCATTTTAAACTAATAATAAGTGTACAAATGTGAAGTAATATATTTAAACTTTTCTGTCCCCCAGCGATTATAAGATACATTTTCTAATGCGTAACGCAGCTATATTAGTATTTTTTAATTTTAGGACCCACACTACAATAAATTTTTGGAAGGTGAAAGAAGGCTCAGCCCTATAAATCTTCGATTAAAAAATTCCTTCTAAGACAAATAATACTTTATTAATCGCTGCAAATAGTGCATATGATATGGTGCTAATTCTATGTACATTCTAGAAAATCCATGAAAAAATATTCAAAAATATTTTGATTGAAAGCTTACTCATCGCAAAAATCAAGCAATTCTTCAAAAAATAATAACCTGTTAAAGGCAGATAACTAGCAAATTATCATTAATTTTAAGGATATATATGGTAAATCTGCATAAAAGAGGCGAAATTTATCTTAAAATAATTTATAATTTTATTTAAAAAAAATTCGAAAAGTTTTTTAATTTTTGCATCGGATTAGGTGCGATTTCGCACTTGTTTTTTTAAACGTCAACTTTAAATGACTAAAGTCATAATTATAACTATTTTCCTTTTATTTATTTAACAAAATTTTAATCACAACATTAAGTATCATTAAAGCTAACACTAATTTATGTAATTGTAAAAGCAAAGAGTGGAATAATATCTATGCATTTTGCAATGAGTACTTTCGAAAAGTAAACACAAATTATAAAAGTATTTTGAATGGTAAGTATTTCCCTTCCATGAGGAAATTAAATTTATGCTAATATATTTAAAAAATGCGATTAAAACTGGTAATTACGTGGAAGCAGTAATTGAAACCATGGTTCAAATCCAAGTTTTCAAAATAAACAATTTACTTTAACAAAAACTATTTTATATAAATTTTACGCAAAAATGGCGAAATCTAAATTTGTTGAAAAAGAAAGTTTTATTTAATCCAAAAAAGTATGTTTTTGCGTTTGAATTGGTAATTTAAATATCGTCTACTTGTATTAATTACCATTCTTAAAGTCAGCCTTTCGAATCATTAAGATTACGTGATAGAATGTGAAGATCCGAACATTAGATCAAAAGTTATTCAGGGTTGTCCGATTCTTATTTTGAACACTGTGCGTCAAATATGAGTTTTGCAACAAATGCACCAAGCGTGTGTAACAAATTCATTTTCTCAAAAAAAAAAATTCATTTTAGTTCAGTTTTAAATATTTTCATTAATAAATAAAACTAAATTATGCTTTACAGATCTCGAATTCTCTTCCAAATTATGAACAAATCAACCCCATAACCATTTTTTCTTTCACACATATATAGATATATGGCAAATTCAATAAGTGTGTAGAGCTAAAGAAAAGGGAAAGGAAATGTGCAATCAGAAGTAGTTCCATGATTCATAAAATGCAATTTTTAGGAAAGAATACAGTTTAAATACATAGAATTTTGAAAAGTCCCAGAAAGACAAAATGAAAGTAATGAATTAATACCTTTTGTGAGAATAATGTACACGAATAATTTTTGACAGCACCAGCAGAAAAAGTTTTAAAATAGTGATTTTCTAAATGACAAGTTAATTCTAATATATCTGGGAGTATGTGAAGACAATAGGCACGTTCCGAATTTTTAATAAGATGGTACAGATTTCAAAAAGTTCCAAACCTATAAATGTAGGGTAGAAGAGAAAGGCTGTTGCTTAAGCAGTCAATTAAATCATAAATAAAATATTGTAATATTTTTTTCAATTTTGTAACGGAAAATATTTTTAGCAATGTGCATCATCTGTATTTTTATTCTAACTGTTTCATTAAAATTAAGATTTATTTAAAATATTCATGACTATTATTAAATACAATGATTAATACAGTTTAGAAAAAAGGGTCAAACAAATAAAGTAAATTTGTTTCATAAACTGAAGCAAAGCCAATTGTGAATAAAACGCAAATAATATTTAGAAATGAACACACTTTACTTTCGGATCTAACATCAGTCCTTCTTCAGTGTCTAAGCATTAAAAAATTATTGATGTTTAGATATTGAGGGAGGATCTTATTTAGAGAACTGTAACTACAGATTGTATAGTTTTGTACTTCATTTATGCTTTATTCACTTCAGACTAAATAGCGCAAAGAATATCTTAACCATCTTTTTGACTTGCTCCTTAAATTTCAGAAGTTTTTAATCGAATTTTAATAAGAATTTTATCTCTTGCTATATAGTCAATTTTCCTTATTAAACGTTTGAAATACTTATAATATATTTATAGTGTTAAGTAAAGAACTATAATGTCGTATGGAAGCTACAAATTAAATTATTTGTCCGAAAGTAGGCAGTTGAAAGGTTGGTTATATTTTAGCAAATTGAAGTCATTTGCAGTACGCTCTACTTGAATCTTGAACTTCTTCTTTATAAATATTGAGATGCTAATATTAGAGATATAGTGCTATTTATCAAACAATTCTAGATAATTTTACCTTGAGGTGCGGCAGCTGCAGGTGGGTTGAAATATCCTAAAAAACAAAACCTTGTACGAGAACTCGAAGAACATGCTTTAAAATCATTGGAAAGAAAATTTTTAAATTAAAATAGTTCTACAGATTGAAAAATTTCTTCGATTTGTATTGATGGTTAAGAAAATAAGTTGACTTGCTCCTCAAATTTCAGAAGTTTTTAATCGAATTTTAATAAGAATTTTATCTCTTGCTATGTAGTCAATTTTCCTTATTAAACGTTTGAAATACTTATAATATATTTGTAGTGTTAAGTAAAGAACTATAATGTCGTATGGAAGCTATAAATTAAATTATTTGTCCGAAAGTAGGCAGTTGAAAGGTTGGTTATATTTTGGAAAATTGAAGTCATTTGCAGTACGCTCTACTTGAATCTTGAACTTCTTCTTTATAAATATTGAGATGCTAATATTAGAGATATAGTGCTATTTATCAAACAATTCTAGATAATTTTACCTTGAGGTGCGGCAGCTGCAGGTGGGTTGAAATATCCTAAAAAACAAAACCTTGTACGAGAACTCGAAGAACATGCTTTAAAATCATTGGAAAGAAAATTTTTAAATTAAAATAGTTCTACAGATTGAAAAATTTCTTCGATTTGTATTGATGGTTAAGAAAATAAGTTGACTTGCTCCTCAAATTTCAGAAGTTTTTAATCGAATTTTAATAAGAATTTTATCTCTTGCTATGTAGTCAATTTTCCTTATTAAACGTTTGAAATACTTATAATATATTTGTAGTGTTAAGTAAAGAACTATAATGTCGTATGGAAGCTATAAATTAAATTATTTGTCCGAAAGTAGGCAGTTGAAAGGTTGGTTATATTTTGGAAAATTGAAGTCATTTGCAGTACGCTCTACTTGAATCTTGAACTTCTTCTTTATAAATATTGAGATGCTAATATTAGAGATATAGTGCTATTTATCAAACAATTCTAGATAATTTTACCTTGAGGTGCGGCAGCTGCAGGTGGGTTGAAATATCCTAAAAAACAAAACCTTGTACGAGAACTCGAAGAACATGCTTTAAAATCATTGGAAAGAAAATTTTTAAATTAAAATAGTTCTACAGATTGAAAAATTTCTTCGATTTGTATTGATGGTTAAGAAAATAAGTTGACTTGCTCCTCAAATTTCAGAAGTTTTTAATCGAATTTTAATAAGAATTTTATCTCTTGCTATGTAGTCAATTTTCCTTATTAAACGTTTGAAATACTTATAATATATTTGTAGTGTTAAGTAAAGAACTATAATGTCGTATGGAAGCTATAAATTAAATTATTTGTCCGAAAGTAGGCAGTTGAAAGGTTGGTTATATTTTGGAAAATTGAAGTCATTTGCAGTACGCTCTACTTGAATCTTGAACTTCTTCTTTATAAATATTGAGATGCTAATATTAGAGATATAGTGCTATTTATCAAACAATTCTAGATAATTTTACCTTGAGGTGCGGCAGCTGCAGGTGGGTTGAAATATCCTAAAAAACAAAACCTTGTACGAGAACTCGAAGAACATGCTTTAAAATCATTGGAAAGAAAATTTTTAAATTAAAATAGTTCTACAGATTGAAAAATTTCTTCGATTTGTATTGATGGTTAAGAAAATAAGTTGACTTGCTCCTCAAATTTCAGAAGTTTTTAATCGAATTTTAATAAGAATTTTATCTCTTGCTATGTAGTCAATTTTCCTTATTAAACGTTTGAAATACTTATAATATATTTGTAGTGTTAAGTAAAGAACTATAATGTCGTATGGAAGCTATAAATTAAATTATTTGTCCGAAAGTAGGCAGTTGAAAGGTTGGTTATATTTTGGAAAATTGAAGTCATTTGCAGTACGCTCTACTTGAATCTTGAACTTCTTCTTTATAAATATTGAGATGCTAATATTAGAGATATAGTGCTATTTATCAAACAATTCTAGATAATTTTACCTTGAGGTGCGGCAGCTGCAGGTGGGTTGAAATATCCTAAAAAACAAAACCTTGTACGAGAACTCGAAGAACATGCTTTAAAATCATTGGAAAGAAAATTTTTAAATTAAAATAGTTCTACAGATTGAAAAATTTCTTCGATTTGTATTGATGGTTAAGAAAATAAGTTGACTTGCTCCTCAAATTTCAGAAGTTTTTAATCGAATTTTAATAAGAATTTTATCTCTTGCTATGTAGTCAATTTTCCTTATTAAACGTTTGAAATACTTATAATATATTTGTAGTGTTAAGTAAAGAACTATAATGTCGTATGGAAGCTATAAATTAAATTATTTGTCCGAAAGTAGGCAGTTGAAAGGTTGGTTATATTTTGGAAAATTGAAGTCATTTGCAGTACGCTCTACTTGAATCTTGAACTTCTTCTTTATAAATATTGAGATGCTAATATTAGAGATATAGTGCTATTTATCAAACAATTCTAGATAATTTTACCTTGAGGTGCGGCAGCTGCAGGTGGGTTGAAATATCCTAAAAAACAAAACCTTGTACGAGAACTCGAAGAACATGCTTTAAAATCATTGGAAAGAAAATTTTTAAATTAAAATAGTTCTACAGATTGAAAAATTTCTTCGATTTGTATTGATGGTTAAGAAAATAAGTTGACTTGCTCCTCAAATTTCAGAAGTTTTTAATCGAATTTTAATAAGAATTTTATCTCTTGCTATGTAGTCAATTTTCCTTATTAAACGTTTGAAATACTTATAATATATTTGTAGTGTTAAGTAAAGAACTATAATGTCGTATGGAAGCTATAAATTAAATTATTTGTCCGAAAGTAGGCAGTTGAAAGGTTGGTTATATTTTGGAAAATTGAAGTCATTTGCAGTACGCTCTACTTGAATCTTGAACTTCTTCTTTATAAATATTGAGATGCTAATATTAGAGATATAGTGCTATTTATCAAACAATTCTAGATAATTTTACCTTGAGGTGCGGCAGCTGCAGGTGGGTTGAAATATCCTAAAAAACAAAACCTTGTACGAGAACTCGAAGAACATGCTTTAAAATCATTGGAAAGAAAATTTTTAAATTAAAATAGTTCTACAGATTGAAAAATTTCTTCGATTTGTATTGATGGTTAAGAAAATAAGTTGACTTGCTCCTCAAATTTCAGAAGTTTTTAATCGAATTTTAATAAGAATTTTATCTCTTGCTATGTAGTCAATTTTCCTTATTAAACGTTTGAAATACTTATAATATATTTGTAGTGTTAAGTAAAGAACTATAATGTCGTATGGAAGCTATAAATTAAATTATTTGTCCGAAAGTAGGCAGTTGAAAGGTTGGTTATATTTTGGAAAATTGAAGTCATTTGCAGTACGCTCTACTTGAATCTTGAACTTCTTCTTTATAAATATTGAGATGCTAATATTAGAGATATAGTGCTATTTATCAAACAATTCTAGATAATTTTACCTTGAGGTGCGGCAGCTGCAGGTGGGTTGAAATATCCTAAAAAACAAAACCTTGTACGAGAACTCGAAGAACATGCTTTAAAATCATTGGAAAGAAAATTTTTAAATTAAAATAGTTCTACAGATTGAAAAATTTCTTCGATTTGTATTGATGGTTAAGAAAATAAGTTGACTTGCTCCTCAAATTTCAGAAGTTTTTAATCGAATTTTAATAAGAATTTTATCTCTTGCTATGTAGTCAATTTTCCTTATTAAACGTTTGAAATACTTATAATATATTTGTAGTGTTAAGTAAAGAANTATATATATATATATTCATACATTATATATGTATAGTTCATGAATTAAAAAATTAAAAAACTTAATATTTACTCTGTGGTTGCGCTTCGTAGTACCCTATAAAGAATTAATTTATATGAATTGTAATAGTCGAAAGTAGGAGAATTAGTTCCTTTTATTTTCAAAAAAAAAACTATAATAAGAATTCAAATAATATTTCTTATATTTTAAAATAAAAGACGCAAACTATCAAGTGCATTTCTTTAGCATTTTATCTTTTATTAACAACACTGTTAATTCCCTCACGAAGTTATTTTTTTTTTTTAAAAATTTAGAACACACTTAATGTATTACTATTTTAATTTTTGTTTTTTGTATCTTATTTCAAGTCTCTTGGATATTGGTAAAAGCTGCTAACATGCGTTCATTTATAAAGCATCATAAAAGTTTTGAAATTTAAATTAAAACAAAATCCACTATTAAACTTCCAATTAAAGTTCTTCATTTATCAAATTTTTTGAAAGGTCATTATTCTATATTTTTTTACCCGTGATTTTTATGAAATACTTCAAAGAGGAAAATATTTTAAGCAATTGAAATATCATATGAAAACAACATTTCAAAAAATAATAAGAGTTTTCTTTCAATAAGTAGATCCAAATTTAACGATATCTAATAATTAGAAAATATTTCGCTGAAATAAACTAATTTAAATGAATAGAAGCTTTCTTCATTTCAAATGTTTAGTTAAATTTGGGTACTTATGACATAATTGTGTCTAACCACGTGGCTGTGCCTAACCATAGTTGTGCCCAACCTCGTTTGCTTACATTACAACTCTTAGACTAGGTTTTTTTAACAATCTGGAAAAAATTATTGCATCAGATTTAAATGAATACCAGTAAGTGACGTCATGCGAGTGTTATCAAACCTAAATGGCTGATCCTCTTGTGACATCTAGTTCAACTTTACACGTGTATATCATGTGCGATGCAAAATTCTTAAACTCTGTACTATTTCATTTAAGAAAAAAAAATTAGACATTTTAATTTTTTGTGAACTAAACATTACAGTTTAGTTTATAAAAAAAATAATCATAAGGTGAATATGTAAAGGGGAATCTTATCGCAATCTCTGTAATCAAATAAAATGTCTTAGGCAATCACACAAAAATGTAATAATTTGTCTGAATGAAAGCGTCAGTCTTAAATTAAATCCAATGCACACTTTCTCATATCGTTAAAAAATTATTTAAAATTAGGTTGGTATTCAATTTTTTTGAAGAATTCGACTATTCATTTTTTCGATAAAAAAACATTACTACAAATTTTTTTAATTCAATTCTGTTGATAAAAAATTTATAAGATATATAAATAAATGTCTTAGAGATATTTTAATTCCATGTAATTATTATATTCATATTAAATTTAGAATAATTTCTTCTATCGTATAAATACAAATGGAAAGGATAAAAAATTTTATTCACTGCGCATAAGCTGTAAGTAAATAATCCTCTCTACATTTTGAAATTCATGTATATATATTATGTATACCGACATTTTAAACTTTAATAAAAATGTCCATTAGAATTAAAATTCATACATTTAAAAATTTAAAGACTTAATATTTACTCTGTGGTTGCGCTTCGTAGTACCCTAAAAGGAATTAATTTATATAAATTGTAATAGTCAAGAATAGGAGAATTTTTTCCATTTATATTCTAAATAAATACTCTAAAAAGACTTCAAATAATATTTCTTATATCTTAAAATTTTAAAATAAAGGACGCAAACTATCAAGTGTATTTCTTTAGCATTTTATCTTTTATTAAAAACTATGCTATTTCCCTCACGAAGTTATTACTTTAGTAGCCCAATGACCTACGCTCTCAGTGACATAGTACTTTAAAGTAAAACAGTTAAAAGAGCACCGATACCGCGCACCCTCATTCTCTACTTAGGTTGATCAAAGTGTACTCTACCCGCTAACTGACCACAGAGAGGGATGCTTGACTTCGGCGTTTTACTGGGAACAATTTTTTTTTTTACTGTGAGACGATACGACTACTGCGGGATGACTTACTGCGTCTGACATGTCAGTTGACACATGTCAATTGAAAAGTCTAAAAAAATAGAGCACACATAGAATATCTGAAGTTTATAGGTTACCAGAAGTTTAAACTTTTTAAAATATATATTCATAAAAATATAAGTATAAATGAATAATAATGAATAATAGATATATTAAATAAGTGTTAATGATTTTATGATGATTCTAAAATGTTTTGCTATTATTAATAAAAAAATTCATGTAAAGTTTAAGAAAATTCTTCATCGCGAAATGATAGCTTGTTTTTCCAACTTCCGTAAACCAATTTCTCATAATATATCTGATTATCGATTATTTCATTTCAAAAATTACTTTTAAAATTTCTGCTTGCAAATAATATTACATAGAAAATTTTCATTGTTTCAGCATAAAATAATATTTTATTTCTACTGTTTGTACATTAATCTAATCGAGACAAATGATAGAATACAATGCTACAATAAGATAAAAATTCAAGCAGAAACTAATTTTATTAATGTATGATGTATTATTTTTCAAGCACATTCAATCATAGTAATTATACGTACTCTTACTACAAATTCTTTTAATTCAATTCATTTGATTAAAAATAATATAAGATATTTAAATAAGTGTTTTAGAGACATTTCAATTCCATGTAATTAGCATATTTATATAAATTTTAAAATCATTTTTTTTATTGTATAAATATAAATAACGAAAGAAAAAAAGTTGATTCACTTCGCATAAGCTGTGGGTATATGGAACAAGTAAAATAANGTAGAGATATCAATATAAATTTGAATATAGATATTAAGGGGATATATGTTATTTTATTGAACTTCATAACTTGTTTGAAATAATTAAATCGTAGGCATAACTTGAGTATCTTCTTTCTTTTCATCACGTGTAATATATAAAAAAATATATATATATATATATATATAACCGATATTTTAAACTTTAGTACAAATTTCCACCAGAATTAAAATTTATACATTAAAAAATTTAAAAACTTAATATTTACTCTGTGGTTGCGCTTCGTAGTACCCTAAAAAGAATTAATTTATATAAATTGTAACAGTCAAAAGTAAGAAAATTAGTTCCTCTTATATTCGAAGTAATTACTCTAATATGTCTTCAAATAATCTTTCTTATATCATAAAATTTTAAAATAAAGGACGCAAATTATCAAGTGTATTTCGTTAGCATTTTTTCTTTTATCTAAAACACTGTTATTTCACTCACAAAGTTATTTTATTTAAAACATGTTAGAATATACTTAATGTGTTACGATTTTTATTTTTGTTTTTTGTATTTTATTTTAAATCTCTTGCACATAGTTTAAAGCTGCTAACATGCATTCATTCACAAAGAATAATTTTTTTTTGGAATTTAAATAAAAGCAGCATCCACTATTACACTTCTAACCAAAGTTTCTCATTAGTCAAATGTTTTGAATGTTCATTAATATATTTGTTTCACCTGTGATTTTCATGAAATACTTTAAAGAGAAAAACATATGAAGCATTTGAAATATCACATGAAAAACAACATTTCGAAAAATAATAAGATTTTTCTTTAATTATGTAGATCCAAATTTCAAAATATCTAATAATTAGCAACAATTTCGCTGAAATAAACTATTTTAAACTATTTCGCTGAAATAAACTATTTCAATGTGTAATGAATTTAATGTTGTTAGATATATTAATGATTTGATTTTGTTTAATCGTGATAATTATAATTTTATCTATCCTAAAGATTTTGAAGAAAACTAATGAGAATTGCATAAATGTGGAATATTTGGATTTTATAATTGATTTTGTACATAAAATAATTAAAATTGGAGTTTCCGTTAAACGAAAAGCTTGTAAATTTAAAGTTTTGTTTTTAAATTTTGATACTAATCAGTGTAATAAAATTTTCCCAAATTAAGTATTTTCGCAATTGGTAAGGATTAAAAATATTTGCAAAGACGCCGAAAGTTTTCAGGAGGCTGTGCATAATTTTTTGAATAATTTGAGTAATAATGATTTTTCTTTTAATTATTGTAACGTTAATTTTCTGATTAAGAAAACGATTGAAGAATACTAGTTTATTATTTATTTTAACAAGGCGAAATTCAAGTCTTAACTGTGCAGCCCCAGTTAAGCATTATATTAATTTGTTACGTAATCTTTTCTTTTACTATTCTGTTTCTCATTCTGTGCATTTTAATAGAGGGCGTTGTTTTCTTTCGTTTTAGGTGTTTTCTTTGCATTTAGTTTGTTTGTGAAATCGCTGCTTGACCACTTTAATGAGAGTTTTTATTTTCACTAGATTTTGTTTGAATTTCTTTTCTGATTTGGTTTTATGTATTTCATATATTTTTTCCTGGACTTCTACAAAACCTTCGGGGTACTGAGAGAGCTAATTTTGGAATTTGTCTTCTCTCTCAATAGAAGAGGTTTTGTTTTATGGTTTCAGAGGCCGTTATCCCCTGAAGACGTTTGCTTCGGTGATCATATTTTTATTTCCTTCGTTTTCTTTATTGCTTCATTTAGTCTTTCATTCGAAAATTCTTCTGCTTTTAAGCGCGTTTCTTTCAAAGATACTTTTGTCAATTTAGAATTAAATATTTTGTTTTATTTTATTAGAAGATTTCTATATTTCAATTGTTTAGTTAAATTTGGGTACTTGAAACTAATCACATAGTTATGCCTAACCACGTGGCTATGCCTAACAATAACCACGCATGTTTACGTTACAACTCTTAGGCCAGGATTTCTTAACAATCTGAAAACAGTTATTGCATCAGATATAATTGAATTTCCGTAAGTGACGTCAAGCGAGCGATATTAAACCTAATGAGCAGATCCTCTTGTGACGTGGATTTCAAGTTCACACGTGACTATCATGTGGGATGCAAAATTCTTAACTCTGCACTGTTTAATTTAAAAAAAACATCAGTCAATTTAATTTTTTGCAAACTATACTTCACAGCCAGGTTTATAAAAATAATCATAAGGTAGTAAACTTATCATGAGGAATATGTAGATCGCGTTAGCAGGAATCTTATCGCGATCTCTGTAATCAAATAAAATGGCTCAGGTAATCAGACAAAAAATTAATACCTTGTCTGAATGAAAGCGTCAAACTTAAATTAAATTCAATGCACACTTTCTCATATCGTTAAAAAATCACTTAAAATTAGGTAGGTAGGAATTTTATTGCGTCGCACTAGAACTGCTGAATGGGCTATTCGCGACCGTCTGGGATACTTCCCTAACAATTATTATAAGAAATCCCATCACAATCTCTATCCTCAGAGGAGGGCTCCTTCTCTTTAGTAGCTCGATGACATACGCACTGAGGGACCTAGTACTTTTAAGTAGAACAGTTTAACAAGGACCGATACCGCGCAATCTCTCGGTCTCTACATAGGCCTGATCAAAGTCTTCTCTAACCGCTTACTGACCACAGCCAGCGATGCTGACTTCGGTGTTTTACTTCGAACAATGCCTTTCCGATAAGACTACTACGGGATAACTTACTTCGACTGACATTCATTTCTTTGAATGTAAAATTAAACACTTTTGACTACCATCTACAGTGCGATTACGTATAAAACACTTACCGCCATGTCCATCTGGGTAATATGTTTCTGAAAAACAATTGAAAAGTCTAAAAAATGGAGCACACATAGAATATCTGAAGTTTATAGGTTACCAGTAGTTTAAACTTTTCAAAATATATATTCATAAAATTATAGGTATATTTAAATAATAATGAATAATAGATATATTGAATAAGTGTTAATGATTTTATAATGATTCTAAAATGTTTTGATATTTGACTTTAATAAAATTCTTCATCGTGAAATGGTAGCTGGCTTCTGAACTTCCATAAACCAATTTTTCATAATATATCTGATTATCGATTATTTCCTTTCAAAATTAATGTTTGAATTTCTGCTTGCAAATAGTCTTACATAAAAAATTTTCATTGTTTAAGCATGAAATAATATTTTATGTCTACTGTTTTACTTCAAACTAATGCAGACAAATAATAGAATACAATACTACATAATGATTAGTAGATAAAAATTCATGCAGAAACTAAACTTATTAATATATGATTTATTATTTTTCAAGCACATTCAATCACAATTATTATAAGTACTCTTCCAAAAAAATATTTTGAGAAGTTTTAAAGTCAAAAACTGTAATTTTCTTCTTTGTTTATTTAATATTTTTTTATATTTATTTTTTACAGCAGAACTAGAAAGATTTATATTACAAAGAATAATACCGAATAAACATACATATGCGAAAAATAAAATTTCTCTCTCAACTGCTATCTATAATTTTAAGTCGCCTTGAAAAAGAATTCCCAGCCACTCCTTAAAATTGTATTTTTTGAAATGATAAATTATTCCTTAGAAATTGTAAATTTCTACCATATTTTAAAACTACATTAGTAATATTACTCAACTAGGAATACAGTAGGGGTGTCACAAAACATTTGGAATATAGGGCACAGTCTTTAAAAGTTTGAAAAAAATACATATACTTACGATGGTAACGAAAAACTAAATTCAAATTTTGAATATTATATATTAATAATATTAGTAGTTATAAAGTAATAATAATAATAAAAACGTTAATGATATCGAAATTATAAATATTAGTATTGAAAAATTATGGCTTTAAATAAATGTATTATTATATTATCAATAATATGACATTTAAAAAAATATATGGGTACTTATAAATCATTTTATTTTTTTAAACTAATAGATTTCTTTATAAGGATCGAGATGCTAAAATTAGAGATATAATGCTATTTATCAAACAATTCTAGCTAATTTTACCTTGAGGTCCGGCAGCTGCAGGTGGGTTGAAATATCCTAAAAAACAAACACTTGTACGTCAACTCGAAGAACATGCTTTAAAATCATTAGAAAGAAAATTTTTAAATTAAAATGGTTCTATAGATTGAACAATTTCTTTGTTTTGTATTGATGGTTAAGAAAATAAGTTCTTGCGATTATTTAAGCAATTAGTATATATATAATACCGATATTTTAAACTTTAGTACAAAAATCCACCAGAATTAAAATTCTTACATTAAAATACACATAACATAATATTTACTATAATAATATAAAACATAATATAAAACATAATACAAACATAACATAATATAAACATAACATAATATAAAACATAATATTTACCCTGCGGTTGCCGTTCGTAGTACCCTACGAATAAGCAGTTTATATAAATTATTATAGTCAAAAGTAGAAAAATTAGTTTCTCTTATTTTCTAAGTAATTAAGCTAATAAGACTTCAAATAATATTTCTTATATCATAAAATTTTTAAATAAAAGGCGGAAACTATCAAGTGTATTTCGTTAGCATTTTTTCTTTTATCTAAAACACTGTTATTTCACTCACAAAGTTATATTATTTTAAAAAATGTTCGAATATACTTAATGCATTTCGATTATAATTTTATTTTTTGTATTTTCTTTCATAGCTATTGGACATAGTTTAAAGCTGCTAATATGCATTCATTTATAAGGCATAAATTAATTTTTTTTTGAATTTAAATAAAAACAACATCCACTATTACACTTCCAACAAAAGTTCCTCATTTGTTAAATGTTTTGAATGTTCACTAATCCATTTTTTTCCCTGTGATTTTCATCAAATACATCGAAGAGGAAAATATATAAAGCTTTTGAAATATCATATGAAAACAACATTTCAAAAAATAAGATTTTTCTTCAAATAAGTAGATCCAAATTTCAAAACATCTTATAATTAACAAAGATTTTGCTGAAATAAACTATTTTAAATGCATAGAAGGTTATCGAAATTCGTAGCGGCATTTTGATAAATATTTATTTAATGAGAAAATTGATAAATCTTATTATTTAGACTTATGTAGGTTTAACCTTTTTGAGAATATGTGTTTTAATCGTTTAGATTTTTATAAACAAATTATTGGAATTCCACAAGGTAATTCCTTTTCTGATGCTATCGCTAATATTTTTTTACACATTTTTAAAGCTAAATATCCTGAGTATAATGAATTTAGCGCTTTTAGATATATTGATGATATGATTTTGTTTAATTGTTATAATTATAATTTCATTTATATTATGTATCCTAAAGATTTGGCTTTGAAGAAAACTAATGAGAATTGCTTAAATGTTAAATATTTAGATTTTAAAATTGATATTGTTGATAAAATAATTAAAATTGGTGTTTTTGATAAACGAAAAACTTGTAAATCTAAAGTTTTTTTTTCTGCAACTATAATACTAATCTGTGTAATAAAATTTTCAAAAATTTAGTTATTCACAATTGGTTAGGATTAAAAATATTTGCAATGACGTTGAAAGTTTTTAGGAGGCTGTGAATAAATTTTTGAATAATTTGAGTAATAACGATTTTTCTTTTAATTATTGCAATGTTAATTTTTTGATTAAGAAAATGATTGAAGAATACTAGTTTATTATTTATTTTAACAAGGCGAAATTCAAGTCTTAACTGTGCAGCCCCCGTTAAGCATTATATTAATTTGTTACGTAATCTTTTCTTTTACTATTCTTTTTCTCATTCTGCGAATTTTAATAGAGGGCGTTGTTTTCTTTTGTTTTAAGTGCTTCCTTTGCATTTAGTTTGTTTGTGAAATCGCTGTTTAACCGCTTTAATGACAGTTTTTATTTTCTCGAGATTTTGCTTGAATTTCCTTTCTGATTTGGTTTTATGCATTTCATGTATTTTTTCCTGAACTTCTACAAAGCCTTCGAGGTACTGAGAGAGCAAATTTTGGCATTTGTCCTCTCTCTCAATAGAAAAGGTTTTGTTTTACGACTTCAGAGGCCGGTACACCCTTAAGATGTTGGCTTCGGTGGTCATATTTTTATTTTTATTTCCTTCGTTTTCTTATTGCTTCATTTATTCTTTCCTTTGAAAATTCTGCTGTTTTTAAGAGCGTTTCTTTCAAAGATAGTTTTGTCAATTTAGAATTAAATATGATGTATTCTTTCACTAGAAGATTTCCATATTTCAATTGTTTAGTTAAATTTGGGTACTTGAAACTAATCACATAGTTACGCCTAACCACGTGGCTGTGCCTAACCAAGTTTGTTTACATTACAACTCTTAGACTAGGATTTCTTAACAATCTGAATAAAATAATTGCATCAGGTATAATTGAATACCTGTAAGTGACGTCATGAGAGCGTTATCAAACCTAACGATCTGATCCTCTTGTGACGTCAAGCTCAAGTTCACACGTGTATATCATGTGGGACGCTAAATAAAAAACTCTGTACTGTTCAATTTAAAAAAAAAAAAACATTAGTCAATTTAATTTTTTGCAAACTATACTTTACAGCCAGGTTTATAAGAATAATCATAAGGTAGTAAAATAATCATAAGAATTATGTAGATTGCAATAAGGGGAATCTTATCGCGATCTCTGTAATCAAGTAAAATGGCTCAGGTATTCAGACAAAAAATTATTACTTTGTCTGAATGAAAGAGTCAAACTTATATTAATCCTATGCACACTTTCTCATATCGTTAAAAAATCACTTAAAATTAGGTAGGTAGGAATTTTATTGCGTCGCACTAGAACTGCTCAATGGGATATGCGCGACATTCTGGGATACTTCCCTAAAAATGATTTTAAGACATCCGACCACAATCTCTATCCTCAGCAGAGGGCTCCTTCACTTTAGTAGCCCAATCACCTACGCTCTTACTGACCTAGTACTTTAAAGTAGAACAGTTTAATGAGGACCGATACCGCGCACTCTCGGTCTCTACATAGGCTGATCCAAGTCTTCTCTACCCGCTTACTGATCACAGCCAGTGATGCTTGACTTCGGTGTTTTACTGGGAACAATGTCTTTACGATAAGACTACTACGGGATAACTTACTTCGTCTGACATTAATTTCTTTGAATGTAAAATTAAACACTATTGACTACCATCTACAGTACGATTACGTAAAAAACACTTACCGCCATGTCCATCTGGGTAATATGTATCTGAAAAGCAATTGAAAAGTCTAAATAAATAGAGCACACATAGAATATCTGAAGTTTATAGGTTACCAGAAGTTTAAACTTTTCATAATATATATTTATAAAATTTTAGGTATAAATAAATAATAATGAATAATAGATATATTGAATAAGTGTACATGATTTTATGATGATTCTAAAATGTTTTGCTATTGTTATGAAAAAAACTTCATGTAAATTTTAAGAAAATTTTTCATCGGGAAATGATAGCTTGCTTCTGAACTTCCATAAACCAATTTTTCATAATACATCAGATTATCGATTATTTCATTTCAAAATTAATACTTGATTTTCTGCTTGCAAATACACTCTATAACAAAACAATCGACGCACCAAGAAGCAATCATCGGATTGCTTTGAAATTTCATATGCTTGAATGTTTTGAACAGATATGGCTGGAATGATGCCAACTGGGGACGTGTAGTCCTTAGCTACGAAACCCGCTTCCAACTGTGTCCTGGCGATAATCGAAAACGTGTTTCGAGAAGCACAGGGCAAAGGGGGGGGGATCCTGCCTTCACTATTGCACGCCACACCGGCCCTCAACAAGGCATTATGGTCTGGAGTGTCATTTCCTTTGACAGCCGGACCCCTTTGGTCGTCATTAGAGGTACACTTACTGCACTGCGGTACGTCTACGACATCCTAAGACCTGTTTTGCTACCGTTTCTTTTGCAGCGCCCTGGGCTGGTTTTTCAGCAGGACAATGCCAGACCGCATACGGCACGTGTTGCTATGAACTGTCTGCAAGCTTGTGAACTCTTCCTTGGCCTGCCAGATCACCAAATCTCTCTCCCATCGAGCATATCTGGGATATAATGGGAAGGCGATTGCATCTGGCACGGAATGTTGATGAACTCGTTCGACAATTGGATTGAATTTGGCAGGAAATACCGCAAGAGACCATCCGGGAGCTTTATCGGTCTATGCCACGCCGTGTGGCAGCTTGTATCCAGGCTAGAGGCGGGTCAACACCTTATTGAACTTGTTACTGTAACTCTGCAATAAATTATTCAATTTTTCTGAAATTTTAATCATTTACTATTCTGTACATTGTCTTCCTATCCACCAATTTTCGTTTCAATCGGACAACTCCTTCTTAGTGCGTTGATTTTTTTGTTATAGAGTGTAGTATTACAAAAAAGATTTTCATTGTTTCAGCTTGAAATACTATTTTATTTCTACTGTTTTACTTCAAACTAATGCAGACAAGTAGTAGAATACAATACTACGATAAGATAAAAATTCATAAGGAAACTAAACTTATTAATATATAATTTATTATTTTTCAAGCACATTCAATCACAATAATTATAAGTACTCTTCCAACAGAATATTTTTTGCAGTTTTTAAGTCAAAAACTTTCATTTTTTTCCTTGTTTATTTAATATTTTTTTTATTTATTTTTTACTGAAGAATTATAAAGATTTATATTACGAAGAATAATATCGAATAGACATGCATATGCGAATAATACTTACGATGGTAACGAAAAACTAAAATCAAATTTTGAATATTATATATTATCAACATTAGTAGTAATAAAGCAATAATAATTATAAAAATGTTAATGATATCGAAAATATTAAGATTGAATAAATATTGCATTAAATAAATTTATTATTATATTATCAATAATATGACGTTTAAAAAAATATATGGGTGCTTATAAATCATTTTATTTTTTAAACTAATGGATTTCCTCATAAGAATTAAGATGCTAAAATTAGAGATATAATGCTATTTATCAAACATTTCTAGCAAATTTTACCTTGAGGTGCTGGAGCAGCTGGGTTGAAATTTCCTAAAAAACAAACACTTGTACGTAAACTCGAAGGACATGCTTTAAAATCATTAGGAAGTAAATTTTTAAATTAAAATAGTTCTGTAGATTGAAAATTTTCTTTTTCAATCTAATTTTTTAAATTAGATTGAAACACAATTTTTCAAAAAAAATTGAATACCTAAATGATTTTGCTAACTCGAATATAGATAAATTAAATAAATGCCGGAATAATTCTAATTAAATTTTTGTTTTATTTAGCAGTTCATGTACTAAGAGGTTGGTTGGTTGTTACTTCAATGAGTGGGTCAAGCTACTGCTTAATAAAAATTACTCTGGATCCATATGAATAACTTAATCGAAATATGTTCAAAATAATAATTTTAAATAATTTCTCAGAGCTAGGTTCTACTTTAAATTCTTTTAATTTAATGACATTTGTTTATTTTGCAAAAACATGCGATTTCTTAATTTTTATTATATGAAGGTACTAAAAGACCATATTTTTGTATTGTGTTGAGTTTCTTAGAATATATAAATTTTTGCACAATGATTTGGGACAGAATGGAGATAATTTATTTGATATAAAACCTTTTCAAGTGCCTTACTTTAATTCATTTTTTTTAAAAATTACTTATTTTATTTTTTTTATTTCACAGCCGCTGTTGTAGAGCTGCGACCCGATTCTAAATGAATGACTGTCACTTTACAACTTTGGAGCCTACTAATTTTGAACCAAACCCGGAAGACGAATAAAGCATCCTAAATCAAGCATTGGAAAAACTAACCTTCGTGGAAGAGTATGTGATAGAACCAACCCACATTTGCCTTTATTGCAGAGAAAAATGACTATAACATTACTGTTGCAAAGGAATACCAACCCATATTCCGCCTAACACTGAGGTTGTTTTAAGTTAGCACTGTAGCAGTGTAAGCCGGAAGTAGGATTTACATCAACCATCCACCGCCGGAATTGGAACCTGGGTAACCACATTGGTTAGCGAACTCCATATCTCTTGGACCACCGTAACTCAATAATACTTATGTAAAATCCTTTATCATTTTTCTTAAAAGGAATTAAACTGCTATCTCATTTGAAGAATTATTACATAATTTATAATGGATGAACTGCCTTTCGTTTTTTCGTTTAACATTACCTAACATCATCCTGATTTTAACAGCAATAACAGCTGACAACATCTGAAGAAATAACTGAACTAGAATGAACTTACCATAAATTATTATTATTATTTGGATCACATAAAAATAAAATTAATATAAATGTCTCAATATTTAGTTTTACATCATGTTTCTTCTTATAATCACACTTTTTTTATGAAAGCATTTTACGACTCATTTCAGATCCAATTGTGTCTCTACTCAATACTTTTCATATTAAATAAAGTTTCTGATGCCAATATTTACATTATGTACATCTTATGCATACATTAAACTTAAGATGTTGTGCACCAGTTAATATCTCTTTTTTTGTTTTTATGAAATATTATAATTGATTTCGATTTATATCAAGACATGTATGGTCTCCAAGATAAATAATGTGCATTATGGAACCAATTGAGGCTACCAACTCTTAAGGCTACCAATTGAGTTATTGAATTATTAGCATTAAAAAAGTTTAAATAACGTCTTCTATTATCAAAAATTTATTAAATTATTTAATAAATTTTGTTGTACTGGTGCTAATTTTTGAAAATTTTGCTCAGACATTTCTTTTTTAAATTCAATATTTAACTTTGTTCTGAAAATAAAAAATGTTTGTTTTGTAAATATTTATTGAAAAAGCAATGTTGAATTTGCTAAAGTCTTTTAAATTCTGTTGCCACAAATTTTGAAATTATTTTTTTATCATTTCAAAGCAAATTTGAATTTTGCTATGATTTCCATAATGCACATTATAAGTTTTTATTTAACTAATATAGTTTCTTAGCAACTGAAACGCAAAAAAGTTGTTTTTAACACAATTTTTAATTTTGATTTTTTTTATTTTCCTCGTCAATTATATTGTTTGAAATTTAGGTTTTTACATGAAAAAATAAAAACAGAATTAAAAAAATTAAAAAAATAGAATAAAAAAAGTTTTAAAAAAGCAGAATTCACGTTATAGAAATCTTTTCAAAATTGTCTTAAAATAAATATCATACAATCCATGAATAAAAATATGATAACCATAATAATCAAACATTGACTCAAAAACTTATGAAAATGGTTTTAGTGTCAGTATATATTGTGCCTCACCATCGGATTGGAATGGAAATCAATAAAAAAAGATATCTCTTACCATAAAATTGAGGCATGGCTAAAATCATGTAAAATTAACTGTTATACAATGTTAGTAGGTTCTAGATAACAATAAAATACAGAATCAAATGATAAAATTTATAAAAAAAATTAATTAAGAGGCCAGGGATAGCCTGATTAGTAGGGCATTGGGCCCATATCCAAAAAGTCATGAGTTCCGTTCCCACTGGCCTAAAATTCTCCGTGTAGTAAATGGTGACTAGTGCACGTCAAATCCGTCTGGTCATAAAGTCCTCCCAAGAACAAATTATAGCTCTGGAAGTACTGAATTGAAGATTGAAAGTTCTCTAGTTCAGATCAAAATTTATATCTATACAGGGAGGATAATATATAAGGGTCAACCCTATAAAGTACTGTTACCCCTATATGACTTTGATTAGGCTGTGATCAATAAATTAACTTTGGAAAAAGTTAATTTATTGATTACAGCCTAATCAAAGTTTTATATGGGTAACAGTACAGAATTGGTGCCGTGACAAGGTTAGGCAAATTGGATAGAAATGGCACAAATTGGCGCCGTGACCTTTTACATTTCCAGATGATAGCAATTCACGTTTTATGTGTTTTATTTTGTATTATATTGGGAATGCATAAATGCATTTATGCATTTCCAATTTTGAGGCAGAGATAAAAAATTTCATACACGTATATTTATGATATTTGGATTATAATCTAATATGTGTCCCAAATATAAACCTTCGCAACAGGGTGACCGAACGAGTGAGTTTATACAAGGCAATTTTTCCCTTTTTTCGCATGCTGATCAGGAAAATTATGCTAAGGATTTGCTAGACAAATTACATAATACTTATGCAACGGCATGGGATAACTTGGAAAAATCTGCAACAGCTAGAGAAAATAGCAGGGAAAAACAAGCAAAGGACTATAATTTTAATTTCAATGAGATAGTGTAGTGTTTTAATCCTGTTTTAAAGGAGAACAAGTGTAAGATATCCTGACCTCCTGTGGTCAGCTTGGGAATATCTTGTTAAAAATAGAGTTAATCAGTAATGTTCTTAAAATTAATAGTAGTTTGAACTTCTTGGGCTCAAATTTGACTCCTCTTTTCTGTTTCCTCGCAAGCTGCTCTTTGTGAGGAACAGATTTGATTTTAGGGATAAAAATCTAAAAGTAGGTTTAAAGCTGTGTGATGCTTTTAGAGATTTTGAACTTTAAGTGGGAATTTGTTTTGAACAGCTTAAAGAAAGAATTTTTTTCCCCTTTGATACCAGTAATTTAGCGTTCTTTGTTTCTTGATGGCGTTCCAGGTCATCTTAACAAATTGTGCTTTAGTATTTCAAAAAATTAAAAGTATCTTTTAATTTTTTTGGTGAGGCGATGGCATTGTAATAAATAGAAATTTATTGTAATTTTTTTTTAATATTTTTGAAGATGGGTTACTTTTTCAGCGGAAATAGTTCGCTTATTTCATCAATAGATGGCTGCACTGGTTAGCTCTGCTTATTTTCGAATTCTTGTGAGTTTTTATGGTGTAACTTGATTTGCCTCCAGATGGCAGCACTATTATAAAGTTTAAATGTCATCACTATATTGATATTTATTAGAAATTGTAATTATCCTTTTAAATTGGGATTTTTGGGTTAAATTATGTGGATTTAAGTTTATTTATATTTAATTAGTATTGTCTTATCAGTTTTATAATGTATTATTTAATTTGGGACTGTTTTTCTCATGGAACTTTTTTTTTGTTCTGACGTCCACTGGTTGCGTGACTGCTCGTGGGAGGAAAACAGGTTAGTCTGAGGTTCTTTCGCCTTGCTGACAAAAGAATAAAAAGGTTGTGAATAGTAACTGAGGGCGAAAACACAGTAATACAACAAAATCTTACATTCTTTGATAATGATATACCAATAGTCGATAAAGCGACTTATTTAGGACAAACTATCAACAAAAATCTCAACTGGAATGACCACATAAACCATATCATAGCAAAATCATATAGCATTTATAATAAACTCAAATGTCTTTTAAACCCACATTCTAAATTATCTCTTAAGAATAAAAAAATTCATTTATATTACATATATTAGACCCATATTAACATATGCATCACCAGCCTGGTGCAATTTAAATAAAGCACAGGCAAAAAAGCTCAATGTATTCCAAAATAAAATGTTGCGTAGACTCAGCGGAGTCCCATATTACATCAGAAACAATGCTATTCATAGAGACTTTAAATTAAAAACCTTAACCGAAACTATCTTAGATATTAATATTAACTTCTTCAATAAAGCAATAAATTGCGATGTTGCAAACTACAATAAAATTTTTCAAACTGAAATGTATATTGAGGATAGTAAAATTAGACCGATAGCGCACTTCCTCACGAGTGACGTAATTCTTTCAAATAATCTTAAAATTGCACAATTTAAACCCTGAAATCTAATTTTCTCTTTAATTTAATTGAATTAAAAAAGGCCTTTTTTTTAGGGCCTAAATTTATCTTCAAAATTTCCTAGTTCAATAGTACACCACTATCAAAACTGGCGCTACAAAATTACTTGTACCCAGGAAATTCTAGACCCGCCCAGATCCCAACTACTGGACCAATCAGATCTTAGCACCACCCCAATATGATCTTAATAGTTCTTTTGCTTAATCTTTTCCTTTCTAGATTCCACATCAAGACAGAAACATCTAAAGACCAACAAGTTGAAGATGAAGAGGTGAAAGGCCTCAGCCAAATCAAGGACGAAGACGAAGACTGAGGGAGAATGGACGGTACCGCTGAGAGGTTGATGAATTAAAGCTGGAGTCGCTGAGAAAGGGGATCTAAGACGGAAGCCGCTATGTTCGTATCTGTTTTCCTATCCCAAGCGTCTCAATGCTGAAAGTCAGTTGTCCCGCAAGTGCGAACTGCCTTACTAGAAGGAAGCCCAAAGAAGCTTGAAGTGCTGTCTATCAGAGAATGGAATGTTGACCTGATCCACGCGTCTAGCGGCAATACCGGTGGGCGTTACAGGGATTTGGTCCGTATTTTGGTGTGAATTTATAAATTTATTATATATATTTTATATAATAAATATTATAATTTATAAGTTCGATTTTAGTACAGTTTTAAAAGAATAATTTACCCTAACTTTTCATTGTTTCTACTGTATTTTAAGATATATATTTTGAGATAAGTTTTTTCGTGTTTACAGGACTCAAAGAGTATTATGATCTATATTTTTAATTGATTTTAGTAGATTTTATGATAAGTGTGCCTTTGATTCTGAATTGTTTTTCCGAGATTTGGAATAATAGAATGTTGAGCCTTAGATTTTTAATTGCATTTTATTGAAAAGATAATTTTGTGCTGATAAATATTAAACTTGAAGTAACGTATAATTTGGAAGTAGTTGATATCTTCTTGATAGCATTTGGAAATGTTTTGATTGCGTTTTTGTGTGAAAATTTGAGTATTAATAAAATTGATTGTCAATGTTAAATGTTTCAAGTAATTCCTTAAATGATTTTCTTTGTTGAACATGGGTAACTGTTACCAAAGTTAATTTATTGATCACAGCATAATCAAAGTATCAAGGGTGACAGTACAATAAACGGGCTGTGACGCGTGTATGGCCGAGTGTATGACGCATTCTAGCCGAGTGTATGACGCATTCAAAAACATGAAATGCTCTCTCTGTCTTAAATATGCTTGGATTCACCAAGCAGGCGTGATGATGTATGCTATAGTCGTAACAACAGCAATAATATTAAGAGGCTCCGCTCAAAAACCTCAGGAATTTTTCCCTAATTCGACACTTTAAAAAAAGATAATTTTGTATATAAAACATACAATTGATATAATTTTATGTAAGAACATCTTGTTATTATGCTAATTGTAAAAGATAAGCGATTACTTTTATTTGAAGTATGACGCAGGAAAAAGTAATATATGAGAAGTAATTTTACTCGTTACAATTTATAACAATAATATTATACTTCATAACAGTTCAAGATGCAAACGATATTTAACTCAATTGCGATATTTATATTCTTGAAAAAATTCGATAGATATGTTGTCACTTGTGCTTTTAATTTTATGTATCTATTTTTTGTTACTTTTGGCAACAACTCAAGTAGGAGCTTAGAACATAATTAATTCGACAGACATATGTTTCGACCGCAATCGATAAATAATCGTTATTAAAAGCAAAAAAAAAAGTTAAAAAAAATTCACGAAAACAACTCTTAATATTAAAATAACTGTTGAACAAATTGGTATTTTTAAAAAGAACTCGCGTTTAGTTTAAAATTGAAAATGACCCTTTCTGCACTTTCATTTTATTAAATACATCAGATCAAAACTGCTATAACTAATTAATTTTTAAAAACCTTATTAAATTTTCATATGAATTCTAGAAATTTAATTATCTGAATAAGGATTACGAAACACCTTGTATAAAATAAAAAAGAATCCTTAAATACTATCTTTATTTTTATTTTATTTTTTTAAATGTCATATGTAACGATTTTATAACAGTTGTTTTCAACTTACGTATTGGAAATACACCAACTATAAAATATAAAAATTAAGTTAGATTTTATTATTATTTTTAGAATTTTTTTTTTAATTATCACTTTTATTAGATGATGGCAATGATTACAATCCATGATATAAGCAGTTACTGTTTCATAGTTTTTAAAAAATAATACCTCCCAAGATGCTACATGCTAGAATAAGCTGATATAATGACATTGCTCCAAACGGAAAACACAGGAAACGCAGCTATCCAATGCAGCTTCCGCTTAAACACTAAAACAGGGAAATTATTTTCGAGATATCATTAAATACGTACCTAAGTTCAGAGGCTGTAATTGTGTCACTTCTTGTACGACCGCTGCATTTGCTTTAGTGATAGCATCTTTAATTTACTCCTTTTTTATGGCATAAGAATAATGGCAAAGGCAAAATGTGAATGATGTATATTTTCTATTTGTTTTTATTTCGTCTCAAGCTCCAAAATTGAAAATATATAAACATATATGTTAAGCAATATATTTACAGTTGTTTATGAGGTATATGTGATATACATTTTTAGGTAAACATTTCAGGGTTAAAACCTTTCAAAAAGTTTCCGCAGATAAAATTTTCATCAGGGTAATTTCTATTTTATTTAGTAAAAGCTTGTAAACTTCGTTTTTGGTCACTTAATTATTTTTATTTCTATATTAACTATAGTCTAACTTTATCAATCAGTATTTATGTTTCACTAGAGCTGCATTATAGGCTACTGAAGATGGTCTACGCCCTGAGGATGATTCCATGGCATGCTATCACAATTTTGATCCTCTGCAGAGATTATAGGAACTCTACTGTGGTAGCTGAATAGCCTGCACATGAAGTCGACCAATTTACAGTAGAACAGTTTGATGAGGACCGATACCGTGCACCCTCAGTCTTCACAAACTGATAAAAGTGGTTAGCCCTCCCCGCTTACTGACAGCAGCCACAGATGCTTTATTCCGGTGATGTACTGAGTACGGTGCTTTATGACCGTACAATTACATTGCTTCCCTTAAATCAATAAAAAGGCGTGTTTGTAAATATACAAATGCCTGAACAAGGAGAAAAATCAGTAACTTAATTGTTTCGTATTAATAATATTTCAATATTTTAAAATGAAAGTGTGTATGTACCAAGTTCGAATATCTCCTCAAAATTGATCTACCTACTTTTATTTATTTATTTATTGTTAGACATACATATGCAGGCATGTGCACTCATTACAAAGTTCAGTTTATAAGTACTTGATAACTCGAAGTACTGTCAGCACAATGTGGAAAAAGAAATAGCAAAAATTTAAAAAAAGAAAAAAATGGGATTCGAGCCAGCTACTTCCTCCCAATAGTGGATGCATCTAATTTCTGCCATATGTTCTTCCACTAGACTCTTGATATTCAACTTGAAAGCTTATAAACAGTATTTTATGTGATGTTGCTAGTCCTCAATTGTTAGTAAAACTAAATCTAGTTCATGCCACCAGCAACTCTGAGTGTCCCGCAGTGATCTGATCGTTAAGACACGGTTCACAGCAGATCACCGAAGCCAAGCATAGACTACGGTAAGTGTGCGGGTGGCTGACAACTTGGATCAGCCTGTGTAGGGACCGAGGGTGTGCGGTATTGGTCCTCGTTAAACTGCTTTACCGTAAAGGGCTCGACTTCGTGTGCGGGTCGTCGGGCTACCGAAGTGGAGGTGCCATCCCCTCTGCAGAGGATCAAAATTGTGATGGCATGTCTTCGGATCATCCTGAGGGATATTTCCCAGATCGCCGCCAATAGCCCATTGTGCAGCTCTATTGCGACGTAAATGAACAAAAATAGCAACAGCAACTCTGAGCATATCAAGCACGTAGGACGGATCTTCGCAGAGATTTCCACTGGAAAGACCAAGGCAGTCGAGGATATGTTCGGGTGTAGCCAATCAAGCAGTAGATTTAGAACATGTAGGAAAAACCTCTACTTTGTATAAATGTGTGTTAGTAATAACTATAACTTTCAAAAGCAGATTTCCCGATAAAGCATTTCCAAATGGAAAAACTACCAAACGAATGGTTTAAATATCGTAAAATTTGGTTAAATTACCAGCATTATGTTGTTGTTTTTTTTTAAAAGAAATGCATTTACGTTGCAAGAATGACAATTAAGACAGAATTATTTTTCCTCGTGCAATACTAGTGATTATATCAATTTCTTAACTATGAACATTTAATATCCTATTCCTAATTATTTAACGATGAGCAGAAAAAAAAGAATTTATATCTACATTGTAAAAAATTTCGGACCAAATTGCGGAATTATGTACCGTCACTTGGGGTACATCATCCATCAAATCCTTTTTACCGTACAATCCAATTTTATCGTGAAATATTATTTTGTAGTAATTTATCTCTAATGCTTATTTAATTAGAGTAATTCAATGATTTTATGGTAGTTATTACTGTAAAAACTTCAGTATGTCAGAATTTGTTTTCTTTCACATGTTCCTGTAAAGATTTATTTTACGATAAAAAGTACCATTTTACAGTAATTTAATCCGGAATTTTTTTACTGTGTACTTAAAATGCTTTAATAACATTTTTCTGTTAGATTTTATTCTAGAATTTTGTAAGACTCGAAATATTAAGCATGACTTTATGCAGTGTCGATTCAATATAATTGTACTTATACTGTTCTTATTTTATAATTATTAAGAAATTTCGTGCAAAGGATAATACAATATCATTATTTCCCATCGATACCTTTATTTTCCAAACAATAATTGTGATAAACCTAAACCAACATTATTCGAAACAATATCGACATAGCTAAAAATTTTAACTAAATCTTAAATTGTATAAACACTATCATACAATTCTGTTATAAACTCTCTACTTTTGTATTGAAATTACATATATTGTCTAAACAAATGCACGAAGAAACCACTCTAAACGTATTATTTCTTCTGAAGTGTTGAAGGCAGAAAAAAAATCTAATTATTAAAGTATAACCATTATTGTATAATGAACACCAAAAAAAAAAAATCAACCTGAACAACTTTTGTTCTAATACTCAAATATCTACAAATCTGCGGTGGTTGGTTGTGTCCAGGAGATGAATTGATTGAGTTTACATTTTATTAGTATTTATTTAACATTTAAGTATTAAGTATAAAAAGGGAAAATATGAAAACAGAGCAGAGCGTCATTTTGCAATGGCGGTTAGGATTCTTCTGGTGAATGACAGAGACAGTTACTGATCGTAACTGTCACGGTTACGATTAAGCTAAGTTCAGTCGCCGCAAATCTTTAAATTCTTTTGTACTAAATAACAATTTTAATTTATCGAAAGATGTAAAAAAATTTAATAATTTCTTATTGGTAAATTTTGGAAGGAATGAAATTTTGAATTGTACGGTTTTGCGTCACTTGAAACTGTAATTTTGAAAAAAGAAATACCAAACTTGGTTAAGAATTTAGAAAAATAGAACAACAAAAATACCTCATTATTGAAATTTTATAACTCAGAAACTATTCAACCAATTTTGCTGTATGTATTTTGTATATTGCTGTATATTATCGTTTTAAGAAATTAACGTTACGTAGTTTTAAGTAATGAAAATATTCACTTTTAAGATTGTCAGTCGTAACCTTTTACAAAAGAAATAACGCAAAATTCTACAAAAACTAATTCACCATTTTATTATTCTTTTTTCATCCATCGTCCAAAAACCAAAACAAAAAAAAAAATCATATCTATAATATCAAGCTTTTAGCTCGCAACATCAGAAAATGCGTGTTATTACATCACGTGACCCTGACAAAGATTTTAATATTTTTTTTAACTCTAATTTTCCTATTTGCTTTTAAATTTTAGAGTAGTAACTAAAAACTCAAAAAATGAAATTTAAGTTACGGGTACAAACATTGGGTAAACATTATTGGATCTCGGGCACTCCCATAATTTGATGGTAAAATATTGAAAACTGTTTATTTATTCAGAGAAGGTATACGTTATTGTTTTGTTTGTAATTTAATAAATAGTTAGAGCTAATCTATTAGCATATATGAGATTACGCTTTCAAATCCAATCATTAGTAGATTAGTTATTTAAGTCAATATAGTTTTCAGATTAGGATTTATTTTCAATTATTTATTAAATTATACGTCCCTCTTCCAGTTTTATTCTGAAGTTAAATTTAATTACCCTTGTGTAATTTATTTACTTTATCTTATTTCTATTTACTGTAAATCTTAAAACACAGTCTGCTTTTTTTCTAAAAAAAATGCCGTAGTTTTTACAAAATCCTCAATATATTTATTAATTAGATGTAAAAGATTAAGAACTTTTTAATTAATTTTTCACTTTGCAAATCTAAACTAAAGTAAAATACCTTTTACTTATAAATAATTGGTAAAATCAGGGCTATGAATCTTTTTAACACACTATAAGATCAATATATAGATTTCTATTTTTTTCTAACTGTTTAATCTTCGCGCATTAAATAAAAACAATACTTTAAATAATTTTTCCCTACCTCTTAATAAATAATTATATTAAAATTTTCGAAATTAAATTAAAAGAAATTGTACGACATGGGAATTTTGAGTTAGTATGTGACAAAGTAATTAAAAATGATTAAAAAAGAAAGAACAAGCTCACTGTTCTTTTGAGACGAATTAATTTCAGACTAAAACTTTGCAAAATTTATTTCGTTTTCAATTGTTACAAATGTTTTGCTATTCTGTTAATATTCTCATAAAAAATATAGCAAACACATTCCGTAATTTAATAGAGACAATTTGGATTAATAAAATAATAAACTAGAAAAAAATAAATATCGCACGTAAGTATAAGAAAAAGGCGTTTTTTTTATTAATATTAAGATTTGTTACAGGAAACTTGTTATTGAAATAAATAAAAAGTGAAGCATCCTAAATCTAATAATTGTTTTTACTGACAAGTAAACTATTATATTTGTTTTTCTCTTAAATGAAGTGAAAGGCAAATTTGGATTAATTTTTTTCCTTTAGCACTTTTATCACTATTTTTTAATAAATTTAATATACGTTAATTGATACTTTATGAGAAAAAAATATTTATTTTCGTGAATATTTTTTATAAAAATATTTATGAAAACCCTTAAAATTTGTATTATATTAGCGCATAGCACACACGAAGAATTAAATTTTCGTAAAATTACCGTACTGCATGGAATATAATTTTAATATACGTTAATTGAGACTATATGAGAAAAAAATACTTTTTTGAATATTTTTTGTAAAAATATTAATAAAATTTTATTAATATTTTTACAAAAAATATTCAAAAA